TAACCTACAAGATATAGGTGTAGGAAAGGATTTTCTAAACTGGACATCAATTGCTCAGGAATTAAGGTCAAGAATCAACAAGTGGGACCTAAAAAGCTTCTGTACATCAAAATAACTAACCAAGGAAGTGAAGAGAAAACTCACAGAATGGGAGAAAATCTTCACCAGCGACACATCTGACAGAGGTTTAACACCCAGAATATATAATGAACTCAAAAACAACGAATCAAGAAAGGAAGTAAGCCAATTAAAAGATGGGATAAGGAACTGAACAGTGAGTTTGCAAAAAAAGAAATAAAGATGGATAAGAAGGATCTTAAAAGGTGTTCAACATCACTAATAATAAGGGAAATGCAAATTAAAACCACTTTATGATTTCATCTTACCCCAGTCATATGGGCTAAGATCAAGAGAACAAATAATACCAAATGTTGGAGAGGATCTGGGGAAAGCAGAACACTCATTCACTGCTGGTGGGGCTGCAAACTTGTTCAATCGCTATGGAAAGCAGTGTGGAGAACTCTTAAAAAACTACAAATGAACCAGGAGTGGTGGCTGACACCTTTAATCCCAACACTTGGGAGGCAGAGGCAGGTGGATCTCTGTGAGTTCAAGGCCAGCCGGGTCTACATAGTGAGTTCCAGGACAGCTGGGGCTACAGGGAGACCCTGTCTCAAAAAGACAAAAAGCAAAACAAAACAAAACAAAACTACAAATGAATTTACCATTTGACCTTGTTATACCACTCCTTGGCATATACCCAAAGAACTCATCCTATTGCAGAGACACTTGTACATCCATGTTTGTTGCTGCTCTTTTCACAATAGCTAAGAGATGGAAGCAACCTAGGTGTCCCTCAATTGATGAGTGGATAATGAAAATGTGGTTCATATATATGATGGAGTTTTACTCAGCAGTAAAGAAAGATGAAATCATGAAATTTGCAGGTAAATGGGGTGGAACTAGAAACTGTTATACTAAGTGAAGTAACACAGACTCAGAAAAAAACCAAAACAACAACAAAGAAAACGATGTATGTTCTTTCTCATATGTGGATACTAGCACCAAATCCTTATAAGTGAATATGTATCCAGACATACAGGACCCAGGATAATGAAGAGGAACAAGGGAGGTAAAGGAAAAGAAAGAATCTGAAAGAAGAACAGTAGAAAACAGGTGTTAACAAGGGAGATATGGATAAAAATGGGGTTATTTTAAGGGGAAAGGGAAGAGAAGGGTATACAAGGAACCTAAGGGATAAAGGGAAAGAAGGAGCTCAAGAGAGGTAGGACCATAGGAGAAGGGTATTAAAGGAGAAAAGGGAAAAACGGGGGCACCTTAAATGGGGAAATCATGGTGGAAGAGTTAGACAATGTGAGAGATAAATAATGCCTAGCTAGTTTTAGAAAACCAGAGGGAACCATACTAGGCCAACAACCTACCGACAAATTATACATACAACCAGATCAAAGAATACAATATATGTCTAGGCAAGGTTTATCTGAGAGCCTTTGGTCTTTGCCCAAGCTCTATCTACAGGGCATATGGTAATCAAAAGTACCAGACTGTTAGAACTAACCTTACATGTTTAACAGACATACTTTGAGGCCTATACTAATTTGATCAAAGGGACATAAAG